AAACAAAGCATGCTGCATTATTTACCTGCATGGCTGCTATTGTAGACAAGAAATCTCTACATCGTTCAAGCATAATCTTCTCCTTTGCTGTCACATTCACGAGTTCCGCCACCAAGGAATTCATTTCCTCCACCTGCGAATGTCAAGGATTGCTGATAACTTGGTAATTTGACCTTTAGAGTCGAGAAACACGGATAAACAGATGGTTACAAGGTTGACTTTACCTTTGATGAGAGCAAGCATATTGAGGATGCCATTGCTTGCATCACATCTACTGCTGAACCAACAGCATCGTTTAGATCTTGCATATCAACCTATCATAAGAGAACAGATAAAAAAGGAAGAAAATAAGGAGAAAGTTCGTCAACTTCAACATAATGACTGCACTCAACCATTAAAATATCTTATCTTCAAAAATGACATGAAAAAGGAAGAATGAACAGACATACCATTGCATTTCCAACAATAGGAAGACGAAGGGTACTGGCCTTCAAAGCTTCAGTTGCTCCTAGCAAAGAACTAGAGTGGTCCCTATCTAAGAGAGCCCATTCTTCTAAACAGCACATCTATTTTCATCAAATAGAACAAATATTAGTCAAGAAGAATAGTATACATATGCTAATTATAACCAACATCTAGAACTGTTAGTAGAAAGGTAAAAAACAGTCTAGAACTGAGAATGGAAAGGGATAAAATTAGAGCATCCACGCAAATAATTAAACAATATACATGAAAAATTATGATATCCAACAAAATTAATGCTGTTAACCCACTGACACTTTGTAACAAACCTTCAATCTATCAGCTAAATCCTTAATAGGGATACCCATAAACAAATGCAGCTACAACATTTGCTACAGGCATCAGTTCTTAGGGTCAAAAGGAGCAAGCTCTCACCAAACAGGGAACAGGGTGAAAAATTGAGTGGTTAAACAGTCAAACCAGCCAAAAGGAAAGAGCTCATGAAACTGAAGTGGCACCTTACTATTTCATATCTTTGAATACATGATCATGCCATCTGCTGTTTACTGCCTCTGAAAATGCCCCAATCCTTTCACCAGACTCTACGACTTTTCTTCTTGCATGTTGGATTTTTTTCTTTTCATCATGTCTTTTAATTTTCGCTACTAGAAAAATTTGGAGCTAAAGCCTGATCTCATTATATCCCACACTTTTATTAGCCAAGCTAAAGCCCAAAGGCCCAATTGATGGGATAGATGGAATCAACCTTCAAAATGATTGCTGATTAGAGTTCAATTTTCCCAGATTTCTTCAATCGTTTCTATGAGAATACAAATATGGGACACCTCAAGGGTTATTTTTTGAGTTGGTGCCCACCAACTTCGAAACCTTGATTCAAAGGTCAAGGTCAGGGGTTCAGACCTCTACCTCTACAATAATAATCACTAACATTTCTTTGCCGATCAAAAAATTCTTCTCCACAGAGCAATATACATTGATTACTTAGTGGATAAACATCATAATGGAGTTTATCTAATTTCCTAAATCACCTTTCTGCAAACAGAGGTTTCAGAGAGTTTATAGCTTTACTTTCTAACATTTTTAATCCCTAACTAGAGGCCCCCTTCTTCTGGGGAAATAGATTACCACATCCTCAGTTGTGGTGAAGAATAGCAGCAATAGCCCCGCTTCACACTTCCCTGTATATGGGTCCCGGTTTTTTTTAAATATATTTCCAAATTCAAGCTGGTATTTTCAAGAGCAGGCATCCAATCAGGGTGAAGAAGGTCAAGGGTAAACAGAAACTCAGAGTTATTTTTAGTTAAATACTCTAGCAGGATCAGTACGTTAAGAAGAGTAAAGTTCTGAATCTTACTTGTCCCTTGAGGATGGAAGTAAGTTTCAACTTCTGCCTTAGCAACAGCAACTTGATCCTTCTAAGGGTGACAGAATGCCTCAGTTCAGATATTGTTACCCATGCATTCCAAAGATTTTTCTGTTGAAAATGAAAATATTTAGAAACAAAATCACTGGAGTGCAGAAGTACCAGATTCATCTTGAATGCTTGTCATTGAAAGTAGCTTATTTTAATACACAGTGTCAGGGTGCACTGCAACCAGACATGCCAGTAAGCTTCTGGATGCTACGCTGTGAGACCACAGTTTGACAACTAATAATACCCCATCAAATATCAATGAAAAGAAAAGTTCACCCCAGAAAAAATGCATTTGAAGGAAATAACTGTACTAAAGGTAATAATAGGGAAAAGCCACAACCAAACTGAGAAACCCCAATAGCAAAAATGCATCTAGATCCTCATTATTTAAGCATAACTATCTTGATCCATTTTACCACATAAAGGGTTGGTTATTTTGTGTTAAAAATACAAGAACTTGTAATCTTCAACTTGAATTTATAATTGCCTAGCTCCTAGTAATTTTTTTTAGCTCATATTGTGTAAAGCATTCATACCAAGAACTCAATTGGTTCTGTTTTCTCAAAAAGCCAAATAAAGCCAAACCCTGTCAGCTAATTATGGTCTAGATATCATCAACATCACAACATTAAATGCATACACTAATGACTTCGCACATTCCATTTGATTCAACCTATGATGAAAAAGATTCACTTTGGTGATCCCCATACAAGAAATGTGCACCAACTAAATAACATTTGGATCAGACTAACTTTCTATATTGTAGATCAAACTTCATTTGACTAGTAAATAGTAATTTCCAATAACTGCCATTGAAACACGTCACCCCACCAAATAACAACCCAAAATTGTCAACTCAAGTCTCAAACTTAGTGGCATTGTTACAATGATAAGCTGTCATGAATTTTGAACTTCCAGGCTAGGAGTTTAAGAAAGTGAAGTTACAACTTCAATGGATGATTAAAAGAAACTTCTTTAAAAAAAATAAAAAAAAATAAAAGAAAAAGAGAAAGGAAAACTTGATAATGTTCATCATTTGCATCCTACTGAAAACACTGCATCCTTTCAATATTTTTCTTTGGCAAATACTGCATCCTTCTAATAAAACAAGGAAAAAGGTGACCAGGTGAAGCTCTATCTTAAAGAAAAAATTTCAAGACCATAAGCTATGGAAAATAATCATGAGAACCTTACTTTCAAATAAGAGATTTATAGAGGGAATAGGAGAAAAAAGGCAAATCCCGGATAGCATTCATGAGCTCCTTCCCACTGGTTGCCATCATCCAATGTTGACAAATAGCAGGCCAAAGACAATTATAGTCAAGATCTATCTATAGTAACTCACCAACTTGTAACTCAGCAATCACATTAAAGCCTTCAGAATGACAGCAAATTGCATATATGTCTATCTCTATATCTAACACTCAGCAATTCTCAACCACCAGGCAGTTACAACCCTGTGTAATGATAATGTTCCATTCCTGAAAGATACTACTTTAGTAATAACCACATGAATCAACTTGGCAATTTCCAAAACGAAATTATATGGTACCATATGCCTAACTGGATTTCCTGAAAGAACTAAGTTGCAACATACAGTCTACTGAATTGACATCCAAAACTGGCTCAAATAGCAACATCTAACACTGTTTCTATCAAATAAATTTTAGTACACTTTGGAATCCATTCCATCTACGAAAACCATTTACATAATATGCACATAAACATTAATAGTATCAAGAAAGAAAAACTAAAATCAACATATTAAAGACAAATAAGATGGAATGGATGATAACTACCTCTGCATCGAGTTTCTGCACCATGAACGTAGCATCTGCTCTTGCATTTACAAGTCTCCATTGCAAGTAACGGTTATATAGAAGCCTCAACGTATGTGCATCAACAATTTGATCTTCCCCCACCTTTCCCCTCCGAATGTCAACAGAGAAGCTAAGAATGGAAGGTGTATTTGTAGAGTTACTATTCATCTGACCACCAATAGCGTTTCTCACCCGGGCAGGACTTAACCCCCTCAATGGTGATGAAGCTGAAGATGTCCAAAGCTTACTAGGTGATGCAGGCCTGGTAGCTCCCCTTACTGGGGAAGCCATTGTCCTTGGAGAGGACATCACACCATCATTGGAAAACCTTTTTGATTGATTGAGCTTTGATGAGGCACCAATGCTAGACCCAGGGCTAGTAGAAAATGGTAACCCAGGATCCTGTAACCGTCTTAACCGGCTATTTGTCTCCTGCCAAAATCTTGCTGACACAACAATACCACGGGGCATACTCAGCCCTCTTAAAATCCCACTTCCTCCACATTCTTGTGCCCCTGAATTGGTACTTCCAGAGGACACACTATCTGTATCAGATGCAGTGAGATCACAAGAGAACGAAGAAGCCTCATTCACTGAACTAGCATCTGGGTTTTGCTTAGTTTCCTTCAGCAACTCAACACTGCCCAAATCCAGACTCAACCTACTACCACCATCGAAAGACAACCTCCTACTACTATCATCAAGCATCATAGATTGCTGCAATGACTTCAACCTCATGACACCAGATCCAAACCCACCAGACTTCTTCCTCTCACTATTGTAATCCAAGCTCCTAGACAACGGATTAGAACTCAAATTCCCCTGACGACTTCTCGCAGGCCACCGCTGCTGATCCATTGGCTTCGAGTTCTCCCCATGATCTCTCACAGGAGTGGCTCTGCGTCTTTCTGGGGTGGATTTCCTGCTCAAGGCAGGAGCTGTCTGCGCCTTGGTCTTACTAATCGGAAGTGAAAAGGCCTCCCCTTGAAAAGAAACAGACAAACTCCTGGTCGAAGTGATCAACATTTTTGTGGCGGCGGATAATTCAGAGGCATTACCATTCCCCTGAGGCACTGGAGCTCCGGACCGCCTCCGGTCCACAGATTGGGACCGCTTTGGAAGTGAAGAAAGCATTTTCGGTGTTGGGGTTGAACTAGAAGTAGAATTGGTGGACCGAGAAATGAGAGGAGAAGGAAACCTCGTCGTTTTTGCTGGCGCAGTCGCCGAGGACGAAGATGTTGACGGCGAAGGCGACAAGTACCTGGACGAAACCTGTCTCCCTCTGGGTTTTCTCGCAACGACGCCATTATCCTTAAGAGGAAGTCTTGTGGACGACCCAGTTGGGTTTTCCAAATGGGCATTTTGCTCTTCTTGCCGTTGTTGTGCCGAAGATTGCCGTGAAGGAGTTAGTGGACGAGAAAATGCAGCCACCATTATCAGAAAAGGAGAGAAATCTGCTCCGTCCTCTACATTTCGTGAAGAACATTAAAGCGTCTTCTTCTTCATGGCCTAAGAATACGAAAGAAACACAGGATTAGGAAATTTTTGAAAGTAAATGGAGAGGAACCCTTTAATGGGTTTGTGAAGGACTCTGCATTCCCTGAGGAGCAACGAAGGAAGAAACACAGCTTTCTGGGGATAGTAGAGAGTGAAGACTCTAGAGAGGAGAGCAAAGAGTAGGTGTGAGGTGAGATTTGGGAGGGCAACAGAAAGAGATCAATGCAGGTGGGGAGTAGGCTTTTGGGTTTTGGGATTTTATTTTTTTTTTTTTTTGGGTGATTATTCAGAGAGACGTTATATGTAAATTGAATCATATTTTAGGTCTTTAATAGTGATTTCTATATTAATTGGAAAAATTGGTAGAGACCTTACTATTTCTTATATTACTTCTTTTATTTTTTATAGGAAATAGAGAGCTGAAAACTATACCTACAGTAGATATGAACAATAAGTTTAGAAACTTGTTTAAATTGTTATCTAATCACCGTAAGGTATAAGGTATAAATAGAGGTACAAAAAGTAAGAAAAATATTACCATATAGAGCTACATATGAGTATATTAAGTTACTAGACATTTACAATTACTATGTCAAATTTTAACCAAAAAAAAAAAATCTATACCTACTAAATGTTAAATAAAGATATACATTAGCTACCACTTATTTAAATAATTTAATGGTTATATCTTTCCGTTAAAAATAAGAGATTCTGAATTTGAATCACATGACATGCGGATGAAGTGGGACAAGAGATGAGAGATGATTGCTTCCCATTGTGTAAAAAAAAAATATATATACATTAGCTTATTCTCTTTTAGGAATCACTTAACTTACACTTAAATTAATTTCAAAGAGAATAACAGTTAAATTATGTCATCCTTTTTAAAAAATCTAATAAAAACACTGAGAGAACCAAGGTGAAAATCCCTTAAAAGGGTAAAAGCTCCAACAAGGAGAGGGAAGCCTTAAAAAGGGAGAAATTTCCACTTCTATTTATTTAAAAAGATTAATTATATTTGGAAAAAAAAAGAAGGTAAAAATCAAGATTTCTTAATATTTTAGATGTCATGATTATTTGTAAAATTATTTTTTAATGAATCTTTCTTATATATTGGTTTATTAAAATTCCATTTATAATAATTTTGGTTGAGTTTTTTATTTTTATTTTTATATATTTAATAACTAGTACTATTAAAAAAATAAAAACTTAAAACTTAAAATCAAAATTATACTAAATAAAATTTTAAAAAAATTTTAAATCTTTTTATTATCATCCCACTATTTTAATTATTCAAGAAAAACTAAATTTCCACAATCCCTTAAATTTACTGGTTTCAAGTTACAAGGTTCATTGTTATTGACTTCCTGAGATGATTTAAGAGGGAGTATTCTTTTCCCTTGTTGACAATACTAGTTGATAATATTCTAAAAGTGTTTTATAATTTGTATTGTTTTAGATTATAAAATA